ACCAAAACAGTCTATTATTTGTGTGTGATTATAATATTTTTCAAAACAGTCAATATATATTATTTGTGTATGATTAAAATAGTAGAAAGTTGTTATTGAGAAATTGTTTTGTAGCAGTGAAGTGCATCCAAATTCGTGAGGTGTTCAATTTATTTTTCTAAACGAGCTACCCAGATGAGATAAATTATCGATGAGACTCGTCAAATTAGTCACATCTCAAATGGATCTTATCATGTATCATCTCTTGGTAGTTCATTTAACTAATTAATGAGTTGCATGTACGTAGTCAATAAGCCCTAACTAATATCATAGACCTTGTTTTTACTAGTTAGCTAGTGAGGCGGGTAATTGATTGGTGAAAAAAGAAAGATTAGTTACCAGAAAGAGCTACCAAGTCTTCAGTAGAGAGGCCTCTTTGTGAGAAGCTTTGCTGGAGTTGGGAAAAGTTGAAAGCGGGACTCGGCAGCAGTCTCGTGTCAATAGCCTTGGAGACCCTACCATCCAACCTACCCTTTGGGACCTCCCATGTTGGACCTCCTGACTGTAATAGAGGAACAGTCAACAATATACATATTACTCCTTAACTAGATTAATCGTACGTGTTATGTGTTGTTTCAAAGAATTTATTCATTAAATATAATATTTAAAAAACTTATTCATTGCTATTTAGTTTGAAATTGAACGTAAGAGTTAGTTGACGACTTCCCAAAATGGGATTAAGACCAAAATGTTTAGGAGAAAGCTGTGTTAATTAGGATCAATTTGGGCCTAAATTTTAAGGGATTGTCAAAGAAGCAATGACCTCGATGAGGATGGCAATTTTTAATTCTTTTTACCACTATACTATTAATTTAAAACTTAGAGCGATCTCCTTCAAAACGATGTGAAAAAGTGGGTATTTTCTCGGGTAAAAGAAGAAAAGATGAGGTATTTTACATCTCCACTGATCTATTTACCGCAAAAAGGATGCCTACAACTGTACAAAAGGGCTTAGTACGTGGCCCATAAAAAAAAACACTTTTGATGTGGTTTCTTTGGTCATTCTTGGAGTCTATACGTAGGCTTAGATTTTCTCCTACCAACTTTAGACAAGCATAACTACATTTGAGTTATTTCCAAAAGAAATACTAATGAGCTAAATTCAAAGTTTCAAAAATTGAGAATGCATATATATAGTGAATTTGTTTCATTTGTTGGACTCACAATAACCACAGCATCTCTTGCAGCAAGCGCTACAATATCGGCGCATGAAACCACACCAGGGCACATAGATTCTATTGCTTTCTTGGCGTTGTCGATAACATAGAAGGCATGCAGGGAGATATTTGGAGGTCCGTCCTTCTCAGCTGTGTTATTGCCGACAGACTTCAGTAGGACCGAGCCATCGCAGCCCTTCACAATCAAAATAACAAAATGTTAAAAATTAACATAATCTCATAGGTTTTTTTTAAACTAAAAGGCAATTATTTTTCTTCTTAGTTTGATAAACTCAAGTTTTAAATATCTTATGTCACTAGTACTATTTTTAAACTATTCATCGTTATCTGCTTCAATTTATTTGTACGGAACGTTTATATAAAAAAAAAGTTAAATATGGTGAAAATTCAAGGACGAGGGATTAAAAGAGAAGAATAAGCTAGCTAGTCGATCTACCTAATAGGCAGTTAATTATTGCTTAATCTGCCTAAGAAGGTGATGAATTAATCTTCTTACTTTTAGCAAAAATCATACAGGCACACCCTCAGGCACGCCACCAACCACACCCCCTCTCTATCTACAGTGCATGGGGCCCCACATCTCAGATTTTTTTTTAAAACTGATGTGATGTCCCCTGCACTGTAGATAGAGAGGGGGTGTGGTTGATGGTGTGCCTGAGGGTGTGCCTGTAGCGCCTCCCTACTTTTAGGGGTAAAATATTAACATCTTACTAATACACAGCTTATTTAAACCATTGTATAACCTTTCCCCACTTTTTTATAAGATACAAAAGATTAGCTCGTGTGTACACTTTGTTCGTGTTTGATAAGTTATTACATAATGAAGGGTTGAGTCTCGTCTAACTTATTTACCTTTGTTTCCAAAATACACCTTGACTTGAGAGCTAATAACTATATATACACTAAACTAAGCTAAGCTAGGTATACATAACTATTAGTCATAAATAAGAGATCAGTTCATATGCATGATAGATGGATGGATGGATAGATAGATAAACAGACAGAAAGAAAGACAGATAGAGACCCTGATGAAGCAGTCATGGAAATGCATGCGAAGCAATGCAGCAGGAACCGTCCGGTCATTGGCCGTGGCTTTCTTCACAGCTGCTGTCACCGCTTCCTCAACCTTCGGACAAGTCTCGGTATAGTAATCTAAGCTCAAAGCATTACCACCATCGAAGGATATGAGCAAGGAAAAGATAGCTAAAGAAGCCACAAATGCGACCATTTCACCCATAGCTAGCATCTATATGGTACTGTATTCTATGCTTTGAGGTCAATAGAGAAGATTGCGTGGCTTTTATAGCAAAGACAAATAGACTAGCTGTGGAGTTGTTAAGGGCAGATAAAGGTGTGCCCATTAATTAAAGTGTTGGGTGAGCAAGAATCATTTTGGTGGAGTAGTGTCGCTGAAGCTATCATCTCTCTCTCTCTCTCTCTCTCTCTCTCTCTCTCTCTAATTTGTTTTTTTTCTCACTGGAAGTTTACTAGTGAAATTATACTGATAGCTCATAAATAAGTTGAAAACACTTCCTTTGAATTTTCTTGAGGGTTTTGGGCCATTATAATCAGAATGCAGCAGTTAGGGACCAGGGGATGGTGACTGATTAGCGAATGCCCACCAAACTTGTATAGGCTTTCTTGATTGAAGAGGGATCCAATTATTGAGAAGTTTAGTATGAGGATTTTAATATAAATTACTTATATATTCTAGTGTGGTTGAGTAATCACAGTAACGGAGTTAGTAATGTTAATTGTACTATAAATTTTTGTACTACTTTGATATAGATTGTGATGATGTGAACTTCTTCAAAGCTCGTAAATATACTATGATTTTTTAGTATGCTAAGCTTAGGTGCTGTTTGGTTGTGTGGTTTTATAGAAAACTTTGTAGAAAATGGCTGATAGTGGCAGTTTTGTAAATAAAATTTTTCTGAAGATTTCTATAAATTATGTTTGGTTCAAAAAAATTTACAGAAAATATTTCTATAAAGTACAGAAAAATATCTTATTTTATAGAAATCAATTTCCGCTCAAAATGGACAGAAATCTGATGCATATATTAAAAAAATAATTAAGTACCCTTCCTATGTGATTTCCCATGGGCATTGTTAGTAAGCTATTTTCTATAAAGTGACATCTAACCAAACAGAAGAAAAAGAAAACAACATATTTTCTATAAAGTTAGAAACTTTTCATACTTTGAACCAAACAAAGAAATAGCAAAAAATAAGAAATACGGTACTCTTTTGAGTTCTATAAATTTTTCCTATAAATTTTATAGAAATACAAGGAAATTAAATTTTGAGTACTTTTCTATTTCCTCCTTTTTATAGAAATTCAACCAAACAACCCCTTAACCTCTACTTTTTTTTTTTGGTCAATGAAATGAAATTTATTCATCACCAAATGTGCACTAGAGTGATATATACAACATGTTTTCCAGTACAACAAAACTGGAAAAAATCTCGAAACAACAACACTATACAGTTATTTCAGTCTTTCTATCAAATGTGAAGGTGTACTATCATTCAGAATCTTCGTAAAAATGGAACGTTTCACAGCTCGAAAGAGAGAAGCCTGGGTTGAAGCTCTGCTTTAAAAGATAATCAAGTTCCTCTCTCTCCAAATCGTATACACAGTTGAAGACAATGCCAGTCTCTTAATCTTTTTCAACCAACCTTTACCTTTAAGGTTACCACAATACCAGTCTAGAACATGATTCCAATTGCAAGATCTCCTTGTAAAATTCAGCCACTCCATTACTTCATTCCAGATATATGCAGAGAACATGCACTCGAAGAAAAGGTGTTGACAGGATTCAAAGTGTGTTTGGCATAGAACACATAGGTTAGTGTTAAGGAGCCTCATTCTACACAATCTATCCTAAGTTAGGAGTCTTGAATGAGATACTAACCAAGTGATGAAAGAGTGCTTAGGATAGTTCAAGCCCTCCCATACAGTTTCAGTCCAAGGAACCTGAGGAGGTGGAGCATTTAAATAACTGTAAATGTGGATTTTGAGTTTACCATTGATTTGGTAGCTGTTCATGATATTGGTTAGGTTGGTCATATTGCCAAACTTGTTTCTCACCATATCTCTAACTCTTAGGAGTTGTTTCTACATCCATGAATCTGCTGGTTTAGCTTGGACTCGCCAAATGTTAGACTGATGTAGATAGTTGCCATGAACCCATCTAATCCAAAGTAAATCCTTTTTGAGATAAATCATCCACAAAAGTTTGAAAGCTGCAGAAAGATTCCAGACCTTAGCTGAAAACAACCCCAAACCTCCAAACTTCTTCTCTTGACAGATATTAGCCCAAAAGATTCCAGACCTTAGCTGAAAACAACCCCAAACCTCCAAACTTCTTCTCTTGACAGATATTAGCCCATGATACAAGATGAATTTTTTGATTCCAACCCCAAACCTCCAAACTTCTTCTCTTGACAGATATTAGCCCATGATACAAGATGAATTTTTTGATTCCATAGGAAAGATGAACATAGGCTATCAATTTTTTCCAGAACCTTAAGAGGCAATATGAAGTTGCTTGTCCAAAATATCTGTATTCAAAGAATAACTGATTTGATAAGCTGGAGCCTACCAGCATATGACAATAACTTTCTCTTTAGCCAGTTAGAGAACTGTTCTGTGATCTTGTTAATTAATGGTGAGCATTCTAGATAAGATAGTCTTTTTGAGATGAGAGGTAACCCCAAGTATCTCACTGGCAAAGTTCCCTCTGTGAATTTTAAATGAGCACACAATTGAGATTTTAGATTTTTATCAATCCCTCCAAAATAGGCAAAGCATTTTGCCAAATTTGCCTGAAGATCAGATACATTGCAGAAACTTTGAAAGCAATTGAAATTTTTTGAAATGGAATTCATGTTAGCTTTGGCAAACAGGAGCAAGTCATCAGCAAAGGTTAAGTGCGTGATCTCCAGCTTTGAGCACTTTGGATGGAATTTAAATGAGCTATCATTCTTGATTGTGCTCAAGCTTCTTGACAAGTATTCCATCCCTAACACAAACAGATATGGAGAGAGAGGGTCTCCTTGCCTAAGGCCTCTTGCCCCTTTAAAATAGCCATGTAAGGAGCCATTGAGTGATAAAGAGAACTTGGGAGTAGTAATACATTCCATTATCCACCTGACCATATTATTAGGGAATCCCAAACCTTCCAACATGAATTTGACAAAATCCCAATTGATGGTGTCAAAAGCTTTTCTCAGATCCACATTTAAAATAGCTCTTGGTGAGATTTGTTAGACCCTAGAGGGGGGGTGATTAGGGTCTTAAGCTAATCTAATCCGATTTAATGCCAATTAAAAATAATGAACAAGTTATCCTAGCAAGTATGAAATACAACAATGTATATGAGCTAGGATAAGTAATATGAACAACAAGATATATCCTAACAAAGAGATATATGCAATGTATGTGCAAGAATATATAAACTCAAGGGTAAACAATCTAAACTAGATAGTGGGCAATATAATTAACAAGCAATATATAAAGGCGATATAAGATATGAACATAAAAGAGTGCGCCAATGCAATCACAAACAAACAATATGATTACGGAGTTCAGTCCCCACGACCTACGTCTCCGCTCCTCACCTCGAGGAGATCTCCACTATTTCAACCGGGTTTTCTACGTTCACCCGAACAACATTTACACCTCACAATACAATCACTATGTAATCACACCTCACACACTAAGTGTTGGTCCTAGCCCGTGTCCTCCTCCTCAAGTACTCGGTTACAACCTCTCCCTAGGCACGTCAACCGACGCCACTCCTCTTGGATTTGACCCCGTCTCTCACCACACACTTCTCTCGGTGTACAAGTGTATTACAAGTGAATCCTCACAATTAGGCTCAATACAAAGTGTTTGTTCTCTACAATGAATGAGAATGAATTATAAGCTCACTCTCTAAGTTACACAATCCCACAACCCAATTATACTATGAATGTAAATACAATAAGCTCAAATGGTTGTTTGTATAAACATAGAGAAAATAAAATCAACTAAACTCAATATGAACACTAGCTTAATAAAATGATAATCAAATAATGTAAAATATAAAGCTAGATTGAGTTTAGAAAACTTCTCAATAGATCAAGAGTGGAAGGAGAAGAGTTGGATGCTCAAACACCAATAGATGATCTCCTCAAGCTCTTGTGAAATTGATTTCTCAAACTCAAACTTCTAAATGCTTAAAAACTTCTTAAACACACTTAAACCAAACTAAAACCCTTACTAAAACTCTTTTAAACTTGGTTGAAAACTCTCTTAGATGATGGAAAATAGTTATGGCAAAGGGGTATATATAGGCTTGAAGAAACCAACCCCAAAACCCCAAAAAACTATTAAAAAACAAAAAACAGCAACTAGCCGTTACTGTGAAAAACGGATATATCAAAATCTGGGAATTATAGCCGTATGCAAAGCTGAGAAACGTCCAGAGACATGTCCGGTCGACCGGTCCGGTCGACCGGAGTTACTGTAGCAGTATGCAGCTGTTTTGTAAAATCAATTTAAAATAGTAAATAAAATCCAAAAATTATGAAATTTTGTGGGAATGTTCTAGACATGTAGAATAACATGTTAGAGAAAGAATTTCCGAAAAATATTGTCCCAGTTGAGAAAAATAAATATTTGAACACAAATTTACAGTTTCTGAAAAACTGTTAACATATACGATTTTGTAAAATCAATTGGCATAGTAAATCAACTCTAAAAATAGTAAAAACTGGAGAAAAGTTTATAAACATGTAAATAAACATGTCAGAGAAAGAATTTTTCAAATATCACTTCTCATTTGCGAAAACTCATCAGTTTTGTAAAACATGCACGAACATGTGCACGAACGAATACGTGAATTTGTAAATTCCTTTAAACATAACAGATTAATTCCAAACTTGATGAAACTTTGAGAAATGTTTGTAAATGATATTTTGAATATGTTACAAAAAGAATTTTCCAATTTGCATTTCCCAATTGTGAAATCTCATTATTTTGCAAAAGTGTTCAAAACATGAAAAAGTGATATACATGAAGTTTGCTGTTTTGACATAAACAATGTTTTGAAACTTTGCACAATGATTATATAGACTTGATAAAATATGTATATGATAATTGTTAAGTCTATAAACTGAGAATATAATATTTGAGCTTAGAAACCAAATACGTGTGTGTATATGATATTGAGCTTAGAGTATCTAACACACATAATATAAAACCTAAACTAAATATACCAAAGATTGATCTTG